TGCCAGGAACGTACAACAACGAGAGCCGACTTACTTTCTGTCAACACTGCCCGTCGCACACGCAATCGCAAGCCGGGATCCTCCAGCATACACGACTGTCTGTGCGACTTGGGCTTCTTCAGCAGTCCGAATGGCTCCACTGCCTGCAGCTCATGTCCAGCAGGACACTACAACGACGAGCTTGGAGCGACGTACTGTAAGAGATGCGGTAGCCATCAAACCTCTCCCGCACAGAGCACATCCATCAGCGACTGTGAGTGCTTGCCGGGCTTCAGCCCTGGCTGGCTTGCCAACGTCTCCGCAGGCGGGCAGCAGCCCCTCGATCGCTTCGGCTGCGATCCGTGCCAGCCAGGAACTTACAAGCCGGGGCGCGGGCAGCAGCCCCTCGATCGCTACTGTCCGGCGGGGTCATACGCGTCCGAGGGCGGAGCGACGAGCTGCACGGCCTGTCCCCCGCATTCCTCGTCTGACCCTGGATCGTTCAACGTCCAAATGTGCAGATGCATTATATCGATGTATTCCTCGTCGTCAGGCGGATGCTTCAAGTGTCCATCGATTGACGATTGCGGATGCGAGGCAGGCTACATGCTGGTGCCGGGCAACGGAAGCCTCGTGCCTGGGCCCAACCTGAGCTTGCAGGTCGTCCCTTCCGGCCCAACGTCAAACACCACGCCCGGGTACGCAGCCTGCAGGATGTGTCCGCCGGGGTACTACAAGCCTGAGAAAGGCCTCAAGAGCTGCTCAGCATGCCCGCCCGGCACGTACAGCAACGGGTCACGCGCCGCCTCCTGCTCCGGTAACTGCAGCTCGTCTGCTGCTCTCGAGGCCTGGGGTGCGACGGGATGCACGGGCTGTCCTACCCACTCGACCTCCCTCCGGGGCAGCTCGTCGCAGGCAGACTGCATCTGCGAGGGAGGCTTCTACGACGCTGGGGCGGGGTCGATGACTAGGCAGGGGGTCAACGCTGCTGCGAACGCTTCCCGCGCGGGCGGGCCAGATTGCCGGCCATGCGCTGAGGGAAGCTACAGCAACGGCACGGGCTCCTCCGTCTGTGCGCAGTGCCCTGCCAATGCGGTCTCGGCGGCAGGCAGCTCGTTTGTATGGGAGTGCAAGTGTCATGCCGGCTTCTACGACGCCAGCCCGCTGGCCAACCTGTCGGGCGCAAGGCGATGGGGCCCAGCTTGCAGCCCGTGCGCTGCTGGGTCCTACAGCGACCTCCAGGGATCGACCGCCTGCACAGCCTGCCCCGCAGGTATGACGTCCAGGCTTACGGGCAGCACCAGCATCCTCGATTGTCAATGCATGAGCGGCATGTACATGGACCCCAAGAGTGGTGACTGCGTCACATGTCTGCCAGGAACGTACAACAACGAGAGCCGACTTACTTTCTGTCAACACTGCCCGTCGCACACGCAATCGCAAGCCGGATCCTCCAGCATACACGACTGTCTGTGCGACTTGGGCTTCTTCAGCAGTCCGAATGGCTCCACTGCCTGCAGCTCATGTCCAGCAGGACACTACAACGACGAGCTTGGAGCGACGTACTGTAAGAGATGCGGTAGCCATCAAACCTCTCCCGCACAGAGCACATCCATCAGCGACTGTGAGTGCTTGCCGGGCTTCAGCCCTGGCTGGCTTGCCAACGTCTCCGCAGGCGGGCAGCAGCCCCTCGATCGCTTCGGCTGCGATCCGTGCCAGCCAGGAACTTACAAGCCGGGGCCCGGCAACGGGACATGTACGAACTGTCCGGCGGGGTCATACGCGTCCGAGGGCGGAGCGACGAGCTGCACGGCCTGTCCCCCGCATTCCTCGTCG